GTCCTTGCTCCTAGTAGCGATGCCAGGAGCCCCTAGTAGCGTCCTTATGTAGTAAGGCCAGGAGCCCCTAGTAGCGTTCTTGCTCCTAGTAGCGATGCCAGGAGCCCCTAGTAGCGTCCTTACTCCCAGTAGTAAGGCCAGGAGCCCCTAGTAGCGTTCTTGCTCCTAGTAGCGATGCCAGGAGCCCCTAGTAGCGTCCTTACTCCCCCCTAGTAGCGTTCTTGCTCCTAGTAGCGATGCCAGGAGCCCCTACTAGCGTCCTTACTCCTAGTAGTAAGGCCAGGAGCCCCTAGTAGCGTTCTTGCTCCTAGTAGCGAGGCGAGGAGCCCCTAGTAGCGTCCTTGCTCCTAGTAGTAAGACCAGGAGCCCCGGGTAGCGTTCGAAGCGCGTCGCGGTGGGTGTTGTTTTCTCCTCGTGCCTCTGTGAGGGATTCTCCTATTGACTTCACGACCTAGTGCCTCTGGAAGGTGTGGTTCATGCCCGGGAGATGATGCGAGCGACATCAAGCACCTACAGATCGACTTGCTAGCGACTACCGATATATCAAATGTGAAATAGTCGACTTCGACTTCTCTCTTCCCCCAAAAAGGATATGGAACACTTTTGCCTGGTTCCCCATATCAATTAACCGCACCAATTATATAACCCATATCAAACCCGGACACAGCCCACAGCACTTCTGTGCAATTCCTCGCCCTCAGTCCCCAGGCGCCGCTCGCGCCTCGAACACTGACTACGACAAAAACTGGATCGTCGCAGATTAAAAGACTCATCCACAGTTCGGCCCTCACAAGTGTGCTGCAAGCCTTACAGGCTTAGCAATTCTTTGTCTGTCCAAGTGTGCTGTAGGTGTTCGATTCCTCCCCGGACTGTCCAAGCCATAACGTTGGGATGGATAATTCCGCGGACAAGTTCCCCCACGACACCCAAACCCATCCGGGACACGTCAAGTTGAAGTGCTCAATCGCACGCGGCTTCATGAAGTCCAATGGCAAAGAAGGAACCCGGAGCTTCCCAGGATCCACCTGGGCCTTTTTCCGAAAGAGCCTCGGCCACGTCGCGAGTCACGCGAGTCACAACGCGCTGCCTTTCTCGAAAAAAACACCGCGCCGACTCGCGCTCGGTCCGCTCGTTGGTGAATCCGAACACCGACTCTGCGGGGGACTCCGATCCACCAGAGGATGAGTCGATCTATGAAGATCCCTAGTCGATCCATGAGGGTCACCTTGAACACCGCTGAACCCATTGTTGGTCGGCGGTGGAGACCGTTTCAATATGGGGGGTCTCTCAGGAGAGGGTACTCCCTTTCGGAAGTGTCTTGACATACATGGCCACCATGAGCCTGAGACAATTTTTTCAGAAAACAAGTGCGCTGGAATGAGCTTGAGAAGATGGCTATATAGCTAGACTGTTCACCCTGGCCTGCCCCACAAATGCAGAAGGTGAACCCCCCGAGCTGTTCCAGCTGAGCACGTGGACTTGCGGATGATTGGACCAACAAAAAGGCCAAAAAAACTCGGTGATAGGATGTGCCAACTTGGGTCGACTTGAGCCTGCTCTGAAGCTGTCCAACTCACATCTTCGTAGCTTTGGGGAAAATCACATGGGAATCATCCGTCAATGAACGTGCTGTTTTCAGGGCACCAGGTTACCCCCAAAGACAGACAGACAATGGGGCAAACAGTCAAGATGTCTTTCACAACCTGGAACCCTTGAAAGACGTTGACTAACACACTGGCCTGCGGACAACACCATCAGTCAAGACCGATTTCAGTGACTTACATTGAGCAACAACAAAGAACGCCGTTTCCCCCTGCACCATTGCCCGCGTCTTAGAGCTCACCTGTCTCATCTCTCACATCTGTCTCCACACATGATCTCCCAGCAGTTTCACCCTTTTTTGCACTACTTCATGTAGGGCACTCATCCTCAGTGGCCTTGAGCTTGTAGGAGAAGTTCTGCAATCGACACCTCTCGTCTCTCAGCTCCTTCCGCAGTGCCTGAGTTGAAGCAGTTCTCCGAGCTCCGTGAAACCACGCATCCCTGTTCCTTTCAACCGTTTTTGTTGTCGTTGAACAGGCAGGAGGTTGGAAGTTATCAGTAGCCCGGCTGGACATGACATAAATCACCTGGAGGGCGGCTTGCTGATAGTTTTTACACTGGGTGGTGTCGCACTCGTCTTGTCAAGTGCAGCACATCTTAGGCCTTAGATGGCCCCATCATTGGAGGCAAATCTCCAAAACCGGCCGGTACACCAGTAACGCACAAGTGGGTCAACAGTGAGGACGCACAGTGAAGATTTGGCAAAATACCGTAAGGACTACCGTAAGGATACCTGCGGACAGGTTAGAGCCGGATTCGGAAACTAATCGGTCGAATTTTGAAACTAGGGTTCTGAAACTGGGGTTCTGAAACTAGGGTTCTGAAACT